TCTGAAATACAGTGATACTCATTTGGTACTTCCAACCGGCTGAGGTGGGTCAAAGCTTCTACTGATGTCTGTTGTGTCTTTGTCCGTGAGCTCCTTAACTTCGAGTCCCGACGTTAGCTAGATTTTTAACATTAGTTACATAGCTAGGCCGAATGTCTGGAGATGATTTCCAGCGCTTGGCTGCTCTGATCAGTAGTTTTCCGTAGCATATCCCATCAAACCTGGCGAATGCGGAAACAGTGCGTTCACAAACAGGCTACTGACCGTGCCCCTTTTCTGTCCTCGCTTCTTACTTACGCACACTTACTAGCACCATGCTACCACACTTGTCGACAACTTACGGCTTGTTTCTGATGGTGCGGTGCGCCACTGGGTGGAGATACCTGTACAGGGAAACCCGCTAGCCATCGTGTAGCGCGGGATCTCTTTTTCCAACGGAGGAAGAACCAGCTACCTCCTTTGATAAAAACAGGCACTGCACTTACAGAACAAATTACCTTAGCGGTAGACGCGCCCGGAACCACGAAATGAATAGATCAATCAATAGCTCAATCATTTCTTCGAGAAACGCGCGTCTAGTTGGCAGGGCGATGGAAACGGTCATTCTATGATCCTATTCTTCTCAAAATCGACCTAAATAACTTATTGCGCGCAGATACAGTGGAAGCCGTGGCTGCCGGGCGGCGGCCCTATGCCCACTGTTCCGAGCAGGCCTGGTGTAAGAAAATAGGTGTGGCAAATCCACTCTGAAACGGAACCTCTCTTAGGAGAGATTTTGTAGTTTCGCTCAGGCCACTGCGGTCATGGGTAGGACCAGGTAGCGATGACGGAGACGGAAAAAATGAAACAACAGCGCCAGCAACAACCTCCGGCCTCTTTTCTCATGCTTCCAAAAAGTCTTGTATACTTTCGCGTTTCCGATAGAGCCCTTTAGCAAGAATACAAAGGAGAAGAATTCGGGAACTTTTTTCTTCATTTGTTTTTCACGAAAAAAACAACTGACGCCTAAAATAATGGCGCAGAACTCTCTGAATTTTTGAAAATTAACAAATCATAAAATAATGCAAGAAAATTCGTGTTGTTGAAAGCGCTACTAGTTTATGGGTAAAACTGACACATTATTTCTAATAAGAAAAGATAAATCAGAAGTTTGAATAAACGACTGGAAGCGGTCAGGAATGGAAGAGTAATTTCACGTCAGTAAGGATCTTTATAATACAGACTTTGACTTCTAGACTTTTAATACGTATTAATACGTAATTATGTGCGCTACATTTTTTCCAAAAGAGTACCTCATAGGATAACTTACACTATTTTTCACAAGGGAATACGTATACTACGGTTATACCTACTAACCAACCAACGGTGCCAACCCGATGACTTGTAAGAAAATTAGAAATTATTCTCCGGGAATGTGATATTTTTGCGATTCTTAGTACGAATGCATTCAAATGTTTATTTTGTAAGGATGCATACGAAGGGAATACTGCAGGCAATTACAATGACTATTCCACTCGTTAAAAGAAACAATAATGTTTAACTTATTGTATAAAAGTCCTAATCAGGGCGATGTTTCTCAAAACGTGTATCGGATTTTTCTTACCGCTTCTACCTACTGGCCAATCATTGACTCTGACTCATCTACCTTAGGAGGCATTATACATCGATTGCTATGTCTATATTCAATAAACAACGTATGTACTACAACATAATCTCTAATTTTAACACACGCTTTCAATTATTTTCAATATTTGGCGCATCTTGAAACTCTGTTGGATATCATTTCACTTGGGGAATATTCCTCTTATATACCACTCGTGCTTTGGAAATTCTCAGATTAATTCCCTTCTGGATTCGCGAGTCGGGAATTGATAACTTTGAAGTCGGAACTGACAATTTCCGGAGTATTACTTATGATAAAATAATGTTCTACTAAGGAAACTCGGGGGTTGAAATCAGCACGTGAATTGAGATAGTTAGGCCAAATTAATCTTTATGTTTTCTGATGTGATTTCCTAAAGAAACGATCCTAAAGACATTGAGCTTTGATATCAAACATTTATTAAATCAACAAGAAAAAAAACGTGTTTGATGTAATAGTTTGTTGCATTTCAGAGTTGCTTAGATCATCTAGTTGAATAACAGAAAATCCTGTTCCCAATGGGATCAAATATTGCTTATTCTTATGTATCATTCAGTTATTAAAAGTGATGCGTAATCACTTTACTACATTGTTTGCAATTTAACAAACACATCATAAATAAATTCTTAAACAAGTGCAAATAATAAAAAAAATGGTTTCTCTTGCCACAAAAAAATTGAATTTTATTGAAGATTTCTGGTGCGGATAATTTTTTTGACCGTATTTCGTTGTGTGTGAAAACTTAGGGCCCAAACCTTAGGTTATTGCGGAAGGCAACTGAAGCAATGCGCTGATCACTTCAGAGATACTTGGGTCCAGGATACGCGTTCAGATATGATTGGCACAACAATTAATTTCTGTTCACAGAAAACATTTTCTGAACGAACGAATACACACTATACTCGTGATACATAACGTTCCTCGTTCCACGTTCCTCGTCAATGTCTATTCACTTTTGCCGTCATACGAAGGTGGCAGATGCCGTAAGAAACCGTTCTTTGGATGTATGCTGGTGGCACAGGCGGACAATAGCAAGAAGTTCGTCATTGGTGTTGAATTTCTTACCCCGCATCACCTCTTACATCGCGTCGAATATGACATAGTCGCTAGGAGACTGATCTGGCGAATATGAAGGATCTAGAGCAGCACCATAATTCATCGACGGTGAGAAGACTTCGAAAGAAGCCGGCTGTATCTGCACTCTACTCTTTCACCATCTGCTGGCGCGTCTCCACACGCTTCTGTTTCAGCGCGATGGTGAGGGTATGAGGAACCCATTGCGCACACACCTTCATCTTCAAACCCTCATGGATGATTGTGTGGAGGGACCACGTGATATATCTTTTACCTTTTCTAATTCACAAAAGGTGATTCCCCTGTTCTTCATTATCAACTCATTGACACGCTGGGTATTTGTTGTGCAGTTGCTGGATGCTCAGTGCTTTTGCATTTTTCAGCACAGTACCTGCCATCTTTGAACACAGCACCAGCCACCAACGAAACACGGATCGGCGACTTGGTGATGACTCCTCTCGTATAGTTACCACCCTTAGAGGATGACTGAAGCAGTCATCCTTTCCCTCCAGAGAAACCTGTCCATCGTTGCCCTTGCTTGTCTACTTTCATGTTCTCTTATTGATGTCCACCATCTTACTGGCAAATCGGATCAATTGCTGCTACATTGAGCTACCTATGAGAAGCAGTAACAGCATCCGGTGGCTGTAGACAGTATATCTTTACGACCCACATTACAAACTGAAATGATTCAGAAGTTATAAGGGGAGTGTCAATCAATATTGAATAAACTAAATAGTTCAATAGTTCTTGTAAGGGGTTGCGCGTCAAACACCCGTATACAGAAGACCCAGGTGTACGTGTGCGTGTTAGCGCGTCCCGTGTTGAAGAAAACCTCAGAGTCCTGAGATACTTGGATTTACCTGCTGGGATATCCATGCCTCTTGCTTAACGGAACCCTTTTACAAGATTAAAGAATCTACCCGCTGCAGGTTTACGTGTTCAGATGTGCAGGATGTGAATACTGAAGAAAATCGGAGATTACGGATTTTGTTCATGATGTTCATCGGAGATTACGGAGATTTTTCCTAGGGATGAGTCTACGAACACGTATGTATGACTTCACGAGAATCAGAACACGAACGTCACCTATCCGTATATGTGCCTTTATATACTGCCTGACAAAATAAGTGTTACACCCACAAGGACTGGTCCCATATTATCCCATTTCGGCACACATGCATAACACTGATGTGTCAGTTAATGATATAAACGTATCTAAAATGTGTACACGTAGGTTTCCGCGGCTCGAGTTCATGACTTCAATGCTGTCCAGGTGACGACGCGTCGTTGGAAGAGAGGCCGACGTTTCGCCTGTCATATCGCAGGCTTCTTCAGGGTAGTGACACAGTAAAGCTCCGCCTCCGGGGTTATATCTATTTCAGCCTAGGGTCTCGGGTAATGCAAGTGCGCCGTGATTGGCAGAGAGGTCCCTCTGATTGCCTCGCGGTCTGGGCCAACCCGGGCCTCGCACCAGCTGCCCTAGAGATCGAACGAAGTTGAACTGCCCCCGCGCAGGCACGAATTGGTGGTAGAATATACTTCCAGGCGTGGTTTAGGTTAAGGCCTGCATCCGCGTTGATATTGTGCGGACGTCTACTAATTTCTATTGTCTCTTTGATGCGCCTAGGCCAGTACCGGTTTTCACTGTGCAAGAGCCGGGTCTTGTCACATTCAATGGCATGTCCAGTGACCTTGGAATGGAATGCTATGGCCGAACGGTGGGTTTGGTTTTTGTTGTAATGACTAATGTGTTCCCTAAGTCGTTCAGACACTGTGCGCCCGGTCTCAGAGTGATGAGCGGTGTGAGCAGTTTTTGATTGACTAATTAGTGATTCCGAGCGGGTCTACAGCTAAGATAATTAGTCCCGTAAGTGTAGTGTATGCGTTTTTCTCGAGAGATGGCGGTGTTCTTACCCTTACGGTATTGCGTGATCCGACACCGATCTGCCGTCGAGTTTTCTCTAATAGAGTACCTCCCACCACCGAGGCACCTCCGCATCCGGGCAAGCTCTAAGCTCCCGAGTGGTCTCTCGGCATGTGTGGTAGCGTAGTGCATGTGTGTATCAGGAAGAAGAAAGAAAGATCGCGCGCGGTCCGTTTGTTGGGGTACTCCTCCCACATTCGCCTGCGGTTAATCGGAGCAACCGCGGCAAACAACGTGATCAGTGTAAGGTGCTTTGAGTGCGGTGCATTGCAATGTGCTGGTGCGCGGTGTGAGGCGAGCTGGATGCGCTCTGCGCGGTGTGAGTGCGCGGAGTGAGCAGCGTGCTCGGTGTGCAGGGGGGTGGCCGTCGTGTTCCTGCCGCTGGTGGAGCTGGCGCACTGTAACGAGAGCGTCGGCGCTGGCCACTCCTGTGACGCGGCCTCCACACAGGTGAGTGCCCACTGCATGTGTAATCTCTACTGTATGTTTGTTTAAATTTGCTGAATAAGAAGGATTGTAGGATGCCAAGGCTAACAGTGTTATGATTGATTATGTGTGATGATTTCAACTTTCAGAAAGTAAATAGAATCGGGAGTAATTGGATCACATGTGTTTATGAACAGTTATTGAAAACCAGAATTATTTCCAGGGGAATTATAAGCGACAATTTAATCTTCTTATTTAAACTATCGTTAACTCTCAACAAGATATATAGGGCTTCATTCTAATTTAATACTTTGTTCGACATATCGTTCCAGAGATCTTACTAATTTTGTGCAAACTCTATTGTTGCGTATATCGGTTGTCCCACCAACTATGGACGCTCATAACTTCTGAATGGTTTACAATATTAATCAAAGACTTTCAGTCAGTGAAAGGAAAGTTGATTCGTCACTCTCTGATCGCGGAGGCGCGGGCGAGGGCGAAGGCAGGGCGGAGGGGGCGCGTCCGTTGACCGGCCGGTGCTGCGCAGTGCATGGCGGCGCCCAGGGACCCCAGAGGCTACGTGTGCCGCTGCCGCCCGGATTTCTGGCGCGGCTTCCTTGCGGAGGGCGCTGGCGGCGGCGGCGACGGCGGCGGCCGAGAGAGCGGGGGTGATGGCGGCGGCGACGGCGCCAGCGAAGGCTACGGGGACGCCTACAGGTATGTCCTCTGCAATTCTGCAAATTTTGCCTCTAGCCATTAAACTACGCGACAATTGCAAAGGAATGGACAAATTGCAACAGCTGCTATTGCGGCACAACCCAAGATGATAGAAAACATAGAAGACACCAATCGAAAAAATATAGTAATGCTATAAAATATAGTATTACATAATGTAGTTGGATAATTTTAGGTCTGCGTCGCTGAATCATTTAACTCGCATTTACAAAATACAGGTAGCGTCTACATGTAAGTTTTTACTTACATTATTATATTTTAAATACACAGTTACGCATACATACTATCTATTCCCTCCATATTGCAACGAAGTCGCCTCATTCGCGTCTTCGGAAAAGGTGGGTCGCCTTACGTTTCAACTAGTTTAGACGGTAGAAAGGTGGCCTAAAAACAGGGGATGGCGGGCGGACGTTGTTTCGATTGAAATGAAAGATTTAGAAATGAGGTTAACATCAAGTTTAATGAATTAAGAAAGAAAATTCGCAATGACAATATTAATAGGCCTACAGCGAACTAGTTGGATTTTCTCCACAATAAGATCCAAAAACTAAGAAAATTCTTATCTTTAAGATTACAAGATATTTCGCAGATTCTTTCTTAGGAGCCAGAGCGCGGCTAAAATCTTTCATTTCTTCAAGAGAACAAGAAAAAAATATATTAGAGAGAGTCTTGAATTCTTAAGTACTTTTACTTTGACGCCTGAGGGGCAATAGAGAGCTTACAGCCCATCTCTTAAAAACACAGTGGTAGCAGCTGAGTTCATTTATCATCTGGACTGAATGGTTTCCCTTGCTGAAGATTCTTTGCTGACACAGGTAGCCAGGGCGCGAGGTTTTGCTCAGCCGGCCGAGTCAACGACCCCAGACAATGCCAATCTGGTATTGGCGACAGTAGGCGGCTGTCTATATGGTCCCCTGAGTTGCTTATGCATGATGAAGTCAAGTAGGCGCAGATGTTGGGGCGCAGTCAGTGATCAGAGGAAACACCTCTCTCTCTCTCTCTCTCTCTCTCTCTCTCTCTCTCTCTCTCTCTCATTCTCTCTCTCTCTCTCGCTCTCGCTCTCTCTCACTCTCTGCCCGTCTGTGTAATAATGCCTGTGTCCGCTCGCGCAAGCCTCCACGAAAGCCTCACTTTCCCTCTATCGGAATGCCCTCTTGGAAAGTTCTAAATTAATAAATCTGGTTGGTGATACGTTGAAACCAAGTGCGCAATAGAATTATTCTGTCCAATCTCTGAAAACGTTCTAAAAGTAATTCAAGTGGAACATTTCCAGGAACTCTGTATCTTGTTTTCTTGTCTCGCACCGTGTTTACAAAAACACGTGGGGATCTAGCTGCGTCCCAGAAGTAGGCCCGCGCGAACATAATTCTCGCTAATGGCTACTGGGTGGCGCCGCAGAGGCTCGAAGGGGGTGGCTAGGTCGTTTCTAAAAGGTGTTTCGCCAAAGATACGTAACCAAACTAGTGGCCGGGGGTTCTCCTTCACAAAAGGAAGGGTCGCAGCTGTGCGTAGCGAATCGGAAGGAGGGGGTCGCGTGCGCGTCGAAGGGCCTTGGCGCAAGCAAGAGAGCTCCTTGTGGCAAGCTACTACTGGAAAACTATTAAAACTAAAAAATTAATATTTCTTAGCTATAATGTATTCGGTAACGCCGCCACAATATAGATTTGGTAATGAAACAGCTTTTCATTTTTTGTCAAATACTAGAAATAATATTGCAAAATTAAATTGATTTAGGAAGGTTTTCGAAGCAAATGTATATAGCGTCGTGCTCAGTTGTAGATTTTTCTGCGGTTTATTCCGATACAACCTAACTTCCGACGACAGTTTCAAAGCAAATAAACGATTCGCCCGTGCTTCTTAATCGCAAATGTGATCTATTTGAACTGTTGAATAAGATTTGTTAGAAATAATAAAATACTTTATAAAATAGTACGATTAAAGAAGTCCTTCCAGGACAAGAGGCTTAACGATCTCGTATCCCGAATAAACAGAAAGACCGTTCTCGACATTTCGACCCGTCCAGGCAAAGCACTTCTGCAGCGGCAACCAGGCGGATGTAGTCTGGAACGAAACCCGGCTGCTCCTGATTTTCTTCGTCTACGGGTTTGTGACTTGCACACTGGTTGTGTACCTGAAACGTTCGTGTGTATCTGCACGGGCAAAGCTATCACGTATCTGGAGCGTGTAGTTATCTTAAGGAGGAGTCGTATCACGTCCACGGTGTGGGTTTCTTGGCTGCCCCAGCTGGGAACATAATGGGTTTTTGAGGAAGGCGAACTTGGGGCTTTGGAACGCGTTCACCCCTTGAGCTTGCCTCTTCTCCAAGCGTCATTGGGAATTCCCTATCGGCTGTCCATTAATAATGGACCGGCACGACGTAGCTTTCTTGCTTCTTTTTCACGAAGTGACATTTTCAAAGACGGAAGTACTGGCATAGTCTTGACGATAAACCTTCTGTTTGTGAGAACAGGTAAAAGGGTCATAAAGTTGTTAAAAATCGGCAATTGAAAAAAGGGAACAATTTTTTTCATTAATAAAAATTCAATGAATTAAACTCTCAAGTAATATACAATGTTATGTTAAAAATGCTTGAAGAGATTTCACGGAAGTATGATCTAGCGAATCGGGTAATGAAAACATATGTCGGAGTAATCTCATGGCCAATATACCCGAACCCATATTTCACTTAAATCACTGGACAATTTTGCACAGTCGTGTGACTAGTGGTAATATGTTGTAGTCATTTCGCAATATGTTGCTGCAGCAGCAGTAACTGCAGAGAAAAAGAGCTGACTACGTTCCGAAACATTGATTTTTTATTTCATCTTTCTAAAGTTATTGTTATAGCAGATCATCCCATAACAATAATTTCAACAGTAATCACGTCTCTAACTCACATTGTGTATTACAACAAACTACTGCAGGAACGGTTCAGTCGAACCTGATACACAAAGAGAGCAGATCTAACAAACATATCTGCCCTGTACTTTTATTCGGACTGTCAGCCAGACATGAAGTAGTAAGAATCCAGAAACACCTTCTAAACATTATGATGCATATTTGCGAATTTTACTATAACAAAAAAGGTAACAAAGTCGTCAAAAGAAACTTGTTGTATTTTTTCCTTGACCATCAAACCCCTTCAATTTTGCAGATCTTATATTTAATTATAATATCTCTGCCACTTTGTCACTAGAACAGATGGAACATTCTGTAACTTTTTAGGGGAGACTAATAATATCCAACGTCAATTCCTAATTAGAGAGCCTACAAAATTTCTCAAACAATGTGCCGATACAGCGTTATACGCTATAAGCACTGAGTGTCAACGTGGCATAAACATTGCAGAATTAAACACGATGCGTGTCCTCTTTGCAGTAAAATCCTCAGCCCGACCCATCACCACTAAAAAATATTTTAACGCCCACAAGATATGAGACTGGACGAGAATCAGAAAGCGAAATAAAAAACGCAATTAACGCTTATGAGAAAATTTGCACATCTGCATAGCTGGCCTGCTTTCAAATGGATTTGCGCGCTCGAAGAAAAAAAAGAAGGGCGAAGGGCGGGGGAGGATCGGCGTCGCCCTCAGCGCCTGCCGCCGCCGCCGCCGCCTGCTAATCGATAGCACGCGGGAGGAGCCAAGTGGAGCCTCGACCGGGTGGGCGTCGCCCGCGCCGCCCCGCACGCCCCGCGCCGTGCGTCTTGCGCCCCTCCC